CTAAGATATCAAGAATGAATATTTCAGAAGAAGAAGATAGTGTCACTGCTTTATATGCTAAATGACATAGAAAATGCAACACCGACTAGGAGTAGAAATTTCGCAAAGTAGCTGAGATGTTCCACCTTAATGTTAATGATATGTTGAAGCTCCCCTATTCTCTACACATTCGTTAAGTCGTCGCGGCCTTGATTGGATTAGGTGATGGATATCTTCTTGGTGTATTGTAACCCAGGCATCTGAATTTGGTCTCGTAGAACCTCCAATGTTTGTGGAGGATGCGGTGAATTTTGCGAGATCTATCAAGATTATTGCATTTTAACTGATAAGATAAAAAAAGTGTCTCATCTCTTAAAAAGTGACGTGCTAGGTAGGTTGAATATGTATCTCACGTATAGTAGGAGTGAACATTCGGATCGATCTTTATCTTTATTGTCTTCATTGACACCTTACACAAGGACATGAATCGTCATTATACGCGGGCTGTTTGATAAGTCAGTGTCTTTTTAAATAAAAAAAAATATTTTTCGGCAAATAAGCATTTTATTTCTCAACATAATCTCCTTTTAGTTCGATACATTTAGTCCAGCGTTTTTCCAATTTCTTCATTCCTTTCGAATAGTAGTTTTTATCAAGGCTCCCAAAATATGCGTTTGTTTCAATGATGACCTCTTCATTCGACCCAAATTTCTTACCACCCAGCCATTTTTTTCAGGTTTGGAAATAGGAAGTAGTCGCTGCGGGCTAAATCTGGAGAATTGGCTGGATGGGGCAGCAGTTCGTAGCCCACCATTTTTTTTGGCCAAGTGCGGTCGTTTTTGCTTCAAAGCAACGTTGAACCTGTCTAACAGCTCTGAATAGTACTGTTCTGCCCTTCTCAAGGTAATCGATGTAAATGATACCGCATGCGTCCCAGAAAACTGTGACCATAACCTTGCTTGGCCTTCTTTGGAGCACGCTCACCATATGAAACCCACTGTCTTGATTGTCCTTTGGTTTCTGGTGTATTGTGATGAATCCATGTTTCGTCTACAGTTACAAAACGGCGCAAAAATTCGTTCGGATTGCGGCTGAACATCGCCAAACATTCCCTTGAAATTAAATCAAATGTGATGTACCCGCTCAGTAGAGATGCCTACAGCCTCAGCTACTTCACGTATTTTTATTCTCCGATCTTCCAATATCATCCCATGGATCTTATCCACGATTTTTGGTGTAATGACCTCTTTTGGGCGACCTGAACGTTCGGCATCACTTGTGCTGGTTCGACCACAACGGAACTCAGTAAGCCACTTCGTCACCATGGAAATAGATGGTGCAGAGTCCCCATAGTATTTGTCAAGCCGTTCCTTGGTTGCAGTGATGGTTTTTTACGCAAAAAATAATGTTTATCTAGAACACGAAATTCACTTTTCTCCATTTTTGTTAGAATTTATGAGACTGTCTACTTTCAACTGCTGTCAAAGTCAAATGAAGTGACTACTACTATTCGTCATTATTCGTCAGAGCGGTCCGGTGGACCTTTGCTCTTAGTTAAAAGTCTCGTCGGTCTGTTAGTCAGTCAGGTCTGGCTGCCCAGATACCAAACATGTTTAAGGGGAAAAGGAAAAGAAGGGAAGAAAGGAAGGAAGAAATAGAGCAAAGAAAAGAAGTAAATCATTTGAAATAACTTAAGCATTATTGCTTTGACTACTCGAATTATTTTGTAACTCCAAAAAATAATTTTGATCGGTTTTGTATACTGAAATAATTTTGGCTGGTCTGAATTTACAATTTAATTTTGATCACAGTGCGAGGCGCCGCCTGGAATGTTTGCGAACTTGCTCGACTGTGTAGTCTACTGAATCACGCAACAGAGGGTTGTGTGCGATTCCGCTTGATTATAACGCCGCTGCGCCTGTTGTTTTACGTAATCCCTTAGATATGGGATATCAAGATTTCTGTGAATAGTCTCATTTGACACGTACCAAGGGGCGTTAGTAATTATTGTGCGTAGGGTTCTGTTTTGCAGGACTTGCAGTCTCTCCATGTGCGTCTTGGCAAAAAAACACCAAGCCGCGCATGCGTATGTCTTATGACCATTTTATACAACCGAATCTTGTTGATCAAACTTAATTTTGAATTTCTGCACAACAAAGGATAAAGCTGCCGAAACGTAATTTGGAATTTTGTTTTCAAAATATCAGTATGTTTCTGCCAGGGCAACCCTTTGTCAATGGTGACTCCAAGATACCTGACAGATTGCTCCCATGGTATACGAGTTCCATTCACTGATATCTCTGAGGGGGCACCGCGACGTTTTTTAGTACAATAGATTGCCTGCGTTTTCGAAGCATTAATTTTGATCGACCACCGACCCCCCCACTCCAATACTTCCTCAACCGCACTCTGCAGCCTGTCGTGGACCCGTTTACCAGAACAAGACTGGGCTAACAATGCAGTGTCGTCAGCATAGAGATAGACTTCACAGTTGCTGGGGCAAGGGACGTCATCTATATAAAGTGAATAAAGGATTGGTCCTAAGACCGAACCCTGAGGAACACCGGCTCTTGTTGACAACAGATTGTTAATTTTGATCCGAAACTTCCAAATGAAGTGACATAGCTTGTTCAAACTTTGACAGTTGTTATATAAAAGATGGCAGTTGACGGCAGCAGTGTTGCATTCAAAGTTACTGCGCGGGAAATTCAAGCGGCGCTCGTATACTCAAAAAATATACAATTTATACACAGTACGGTATAAAAAAATAAGAAATTAATACAACCGTATGGAACGGCATTACATAATAGACATAGAAATTACACAACATGAAATTTAAGTTTATACGATAAAAAATGGAGGTAAAGACGTAAGTAGGTTTATATGATTACACGATTAGTTGCAAACATTCTGCCTCTCTTTTGAATAGATTTTGTTATTTGTCGACTTTCAAATAACAAAAATATTGGAGAACTCTGAAATACTACTGAAATCTTAAAATCATAAGAGACATTTAATCTTATATAGAACACCAAAGCTTACGTAAAAAAATGTATATATTTTGTCATGTGCATATTCAGCTGATCAAATTCATGTTCCTTGTGATCATGTAGCACTAATTTATTGGAAATCAAGTTTTCCATCCAATAGAACGAATATTGAAGTGTATAAACACTATCATCAAAGTTTTAATGTAGGCTTATCGCAATATTTTTCTATGACCGCTTGGTTCACGTATTCTGCTCTAGCTAAATGGTATTTACGCAAAATACTTCGCGATAGTTGTTAATTAGATTTTCATAGAAGATCTGGAAAGCAGTTTGAAGTATGATACAAGTGCAAGGGGTCAGGTACATAGTTTATGATTTCTCATTTACCTTACGCACAGATCCATTGAAAAATTCTTTGTTTGTCATCGTAAGTTTCATCTTTTTTTATTAGTATTCCATTATGGTCACTGAGTAATAACATATTTACAGTCTATCAGTAACACTTCATCGCATTTCTTTTCGATAAACAGTTTCGAATACTATTTATGGGCCATTTGATGCTTCTTCGAGGAGTAATATTCGGATTAAAGTGATCCTGGTGACGTGACAATCAAGATTTCTTTTCAAAAAAGCGTATTTATAATGATTGGAAGTTGAGAATCTCAAAAATTGTGACTCAATATTCAATAGTAAGCATTTTTTCAAATGTCAAGAAACGCGTTTGATCGATGTACTTTCAAAAGTGTCCGCAAAGCTTCGCACGCTAACGTTGAATAATCTTAATTTCAATATGACTCTACGTTACATGGAGCTGTAGCCAGTAACATGATTTATCACTGTCGACTACTTATTTTTTTTTTTGCTTGGAGTAGGTTTTGCCAACTTTTTTAACTCCCACGCTCAAAATTCCAACACTTACTGGCAGACTACATACAACATTACAATGCATATTAGTATACAACACTAGCTGTGAGCATTGATACTGCATGTTGGAGAAAAACATGACGTCAAGTAGGTTGACTTTACACTTCCTACGCTATGCCATCATACAATTCATAGAGGAACAAGTTGACTACGAGCATATACGAGCCCCTTCCCACTTCAGTTGGCCCACTTCAAGATTTGTACCAAAATATGCGTTTATAAACTAAACATGACGAAACTATTTACTTACTTTTCTCAAAAACATTTTAGATACACTCTAGTCGTAAAAAATACATATTTGAAATCACTTAGACCTATAGCTAATAGAACATCTGAACAAATAAAGAATGTGCGAATTAATGCGCGAAGTTAACAAAGCAACAATTGAAAGATTACCATTGGGTAACATCACCTTTATTTTTTATTATGGCTGAAATTCTTTGGGGCATAGTGTTAACCAAGTTTTGGCAAAAATTTGGTGTAAAACAATCCCATATTTCTTGAAGCTTTTGTCTCAGTTCGGTGATTGTACGAGCAGGATGTTGTCCTAGAACCTTTTTCATCTCGTGCCACAAAGTTTCAATAGGTGACAGATCTGAACTGCTAGAAACCCATTTCAAAAGTGGTACATTATTTTCTCCCATCCATTTTATAGCCTTTTTTGGGGTATGGCACGCTGCACCATCTTGCTGAAACACAAAATCTGGACCGGATGTCAAACATTCTTCCATCACACTCTTGTGCACATATTAAGTGCGAATTTATATGTAGTACGCTACCCACCATGATGGAATGCTGCAAGCATTACCAAGATGGGGTTTGCAGAGATAGGTGAGGGATTTTATTGAGCATGATGCATCCGGGAGAATCTCACAGAAAAGCTCGACAGCACTGAGAATGGCTATAAAAGTTTTCCTGTCCAACAAAAGGAAACGAGGAAAACCATGTTTTAGATGCCATGGTATCAGACAGGCCCTGCTTTTGGCATTGACCATACAAACTGTCAATAGCGTGTGCTGGCCTAGGTTAGGACATTGTGAGGAAGGCCTTCTATTGCTTCTATATCAGCGTGGGTATTAAATGATGACAATCTTATTTTCTTTCCAGGTGAACGCAATTTACAATGGTCGACACCCAGCACTTTTGTCTGCGCTGGAACAACTACCAGAGCAGCATAACGTCAGCCTTCGAGAACCTCAGGGACGATGAAGACTTCGTCGACGTCACGCTGGCCTGCGACGGAAAAAGTCTCAAAGCTCACAGGGTGGTGCTGTCCGCGTGCAGTCCATACTTCCGGGAATTGCTCAAGGTAAGGGAGTTAAAAGCACCTTCTAGACAAGCATTATGATTGACCAACATAGACATTACTCAGATAAAAAACTACAACCATGCTCTCCGCGTCGTTGCATGCAATAAGCTAGATAAAATGCCGTCTCATCCTTGTTAGCAATCATCAGAATATGACTGCCAACAGATCTTGTAGTGTCGAGATGAGAAATGGAATACATGAGACCCTTTATGAGTCCCGGTCAAAATTAACGCTGGATTCAGAATCTGCGGATCATAGAAAGAATTATTGGGGAGCAACATCACATATTATTTGAGGTCAAAAGTTCAATTTTCGTTTGCCATCATTACAACTGGTAATTTCGGGTAATTAATTCTAATACGGTTGTTGAAAAATCACGTAGTGTCCAGATCACAAATAAACTGAGATTTTTAAAAAAATTCTCATCAGTCTATTAGATATTAGTATAAGCTTGTGGGAAATTTAAGGTGTAAAATTTTCGCCAGTAGACGTAGGAAATAAAAATGACGATATGTACGATTCAGTTTTTAGGGAAAACATCCCCAGTGTGTCGTAGGTTCAAACAACTGGCTAGCTTGAGCCTAAAGACAAATTATTGTCGGGTTCGAAGTCTACACACTCAATTTTTGCAAGAGGACATTTCAATGTTCTTCTATGACATTTATGGCGTGATTAAAAACGCATAGTCATTATTTTTACAGTTTCATTCAAATTGCCATTTTATAGATATATGATAAAAATACAATAAAACATCTAACAATAGTAGTGTCGATAATTGAAAACATTATCAATTATGCATTATAGTAATGTGTAAAATTCAATCAAAAGTTTTACACCTGTTAGGTTGTAGATATCAGTAGAACCTTTAAACCCGGGTTCTGGAGAAAATTGTCACACATAATCAGCTTGGTGTCCTTGGTTTTTAAAAAAAATTTAGAATCTTCTTTGGATCCCATCATAAAAGTTCTTACTCGTGCACATTTGAAGGATGTCACATTTTGGAAACATACAAACTTTCAAAAGCAATGTACATTCCAATGTCCATGTTTCACGGATAGCGAATAGACAAAATTGCTATTATTATTACGGTATAAGCGGCTAATTCAGTAATTTGTAGATTAGAAGTTTCAAGTGTTTAGAATTAAGATATACTGGATATATTATATATTCTTTTTAGACAATGCGAAAACCTTGCTTTTGTGGAAGAAATTTACTGACTCTCTTTCTCGTAATCACGTTGGTAAACCGGTGCAAATCTGTTTAAATAATTTTTCAATCAAATTACAAACACTTTTTTTTGCTACAAAGTTTTTTTATGTCTCTTTAATCGTTCTGAGCAAAAAAATGTCTGAAAATCCCGAATCAAGATCATTTCCAAGACTTGGTTAAAATGTTATTTTTAAGGTTGCCAAATGTCTAAATTAAAGTTCCAAATTTCCTCTGACTCACGCACTTTGAGCCTAGTTTATTTTAAAGCATTTTATTCAATTGCGCCCTATAATTTAACTGAGCTTTCAAGCATTAAGTCTGGCAATTTTTTTTTATTTTCCTATAACTGGATAATGATTAACTTTAGAGAAACGTTGCTGTCTTTTTTCAGAATGATAATAAAAACCTAAAAAAATTTAACCGGAACAAAAAAAACGTTTTTGTAATTTAATAAATAAAATGAACGACATAATGTCACTAAAACCCTACATAATGTCATTAAAAATCGGTAATATGTAAACTTGTCCAGTTATGTAAAAATGCAACATCGGAGACCCTTAGCCAACACGCACAGCTACTAAAAGTGAACATAAAGTGAACAACAGTTAATTCCGAGTTGATTTTTTCTGGAAATCCTACAAAATGTCAAAAAATCGATGTCACTTTTTACTTATGACCTGATGACAGCGTTGCCTGTGAATTGCAGAGTCAACCTACTTGACGCCATTTTTAAGTCACGTAAAACAGATGCGAATTACCACCATTCAAGTTAAAGGAAATCCAACAAACGTGATTATGAAAAAAATGAGCCATAGAACCCCCATAAATACGAGATTTTCGCCTCGTCTATGAATCTACTCAGTATATCTAGACCGTTTGAACTCTCTAATCTACAAACTGCTACTTCAGCCGCTTCTACCGTGATAATAGCAATTTTGCCTATTCGTGAAGCATTTACATACATTCCACTGTATCTCAAATTACATTACACAAACAATTCGGCGAAGATAAGCAGTTCATCTTGATTGGAGTTAATTATTATTTGAATGCCTTAGGTCAGTACGTACAGTTGCATAAGTCACTTTATCAGTTTATCTATAGTTTAGACATTGACGTCGTATGAGTGGAAAAGTTGGAAAATTTATAACCGTTCATTGAATTTCCTAGTTAATTATACGGTTTACTATCTCATGTACTCTGAGCATCCAAATACGGTATCAAGTATCTACAATCATTCAGGGTGTTTCCTAATTCAATGCAAATATGATTTTTAGGTCCATTTACAGGAAAAAACTACATATGAACCTATGTAAGTTTGCAAAAATAAGTCATCTATTATTAATATATGTGATACCATTTTAGATATTTCATTTAAATTTGGCACACGTGTACATCAAAAAACATTTTTTAATGTACTTTTTTTTAATTTCCATCAGTGGCATTCAAGCAGAATTTCACCTGCATATTTTAGCAGACATTGGTGGTACGCCACTGATTTCTCTTGAAATAAAATTCCCTAGTCATTTCTAATCAAGTTTGATATATTTATCTTTTAATCCAATGTTTTCACCTAAAAAAATGAAAGCTACATAGTAATATTATGATATTAAAGATAATGTTATAATCATGCAGATAAACAATTTCCGTTTCAATGTTTGCCATTTTAAAACCTGAATTTCTTGAGACACAGAAACTATGGATTTGAAAACTAACAAAATATACTAAGTGACATATAAATCCGAACACCCAGTTTAAATGGTTTTATTTTAATAAAATTTTGTATAAGTACTTAATGAAGCATAATAAGTAAATGATAAAAATTTCAAAATAATTGCACTGCTTTAAAGCCCTTTGACCTTTAATAATGTGTGGATGCATCCTGATGTGCTACGCATCCTCCAACGCGCCTAGGCATGATTCTGATCAGGTGGTCAATGTCCTCCTGTGGTATCTCATTCCGGGTAACCACCAACTCCTCTCGAAGTGCTTCTAGAATCTGAGGAGGACGTTGCAAATTGAGCAATCTCCTACCCATCATATCCCACACGTGCTCAATTGGGGATAAGTCGAGAGATCTTGGTGGCCATGGTAACAATGTGACATCATTATGTTGAAAGAAGTCTATTGTGATTCTTGCAACATGTGGTCGGGCACTATCTTGTTGGAAAGTTGGATCTGCCAGGGTGTCAAGATAGGCTAAAAGATGGAGTTCTAGAACTTCGTGGATATAACGCTGCGCGTTCATGTTACCTCTGATGAAGATTAAAGGTGACCTGGAACCATAAGCTATAGCACCCCAAACCATAACTCCAACAGTGTGATGAACATGTCTTTCAAAAAAAAACTGTGGATTCCTCCTTTCACCACGTCGCCTTCTAACCCGGGCACGACCATCGTGCGTGCCTAAACAAAATCGAGACTCGTCACTAAAGACAATACTGTTCCATTCCTGATCCCAGAGTGACCGTTGTCTGCACCACTCAAGGAGATTACGTCGGTGTTCTCGAGTTAAAGGGAGGGCCCAGTGTGGCCGGTATGAAAACAAGCCAAAACTTCTCATTCGTCGGTAAACACTTCGCATGCCAATAGGTCTTCCGTGTTCTGCAAACCATTCATTTGCAATGGACCTGGTAGTGGAGAAACGGTCCCTTAAGGCCAATAATCTTAGGCGGCGATCTTCACGGTCTGTTGTTCTACGGCGGCGTCCAGTGCCCCTTGCTGTTTGCGTACGGCCTTCTCGAAGCCATGCCTGACAACACCTAACTACAGTGTCTACACTTCTCTGCACTCTAACTGCAATTGCCCGAAAAGAAAGTCCAGCTTCCCGAAGTCCCACTATACGGCCCCTATCAAACTCACTAAGTTGACGAAATCGTACAGGTCTCCGTACTCTAGGCATCGTAACCGATCGTAAAGGATGTCAAGAACCAAAATCCGCCAACGTTGATTCTTTACTGCGGCTGAAATATTCATTTTTAGAGCGTTAGTGAATTAAAAAAAAGCAGTATGAAAACCGGAATGTCCAACTGATAAGGCTGAAAATTTTTTCACTTGTTATTTACAGTAAGATAAATACATTCACCAACTTTTATTAAAATAAAACCATTTAAACTGGGTGTTCGGATTTATATGTCACTTAGTATATAAGGAATAATACATCCTACAAAAAATTCAACATTTTAATAGAAAATAAAACAGGAAAACACAGACATTATCAAATAATAAAAACAAGCGCAGAAAATATGACTCATTTGACAACATATGCATAGTGGATAGATACCTCTCGGTCACGTGATATTCTATCGCTTCGATGATTACTCAATATAGTGCCAATACTACTAAAATGGCGAGCAGGCGGTCATTTGCAGACTAAACACTATCAATATAAGCGACATATTTTCTGATATTCCAAAAATATGCCTCAAAATATAGGTTGATGATATTACAGTTCCTTGTAAATCTATTACAATTTCTTGGGAGACATCTGTCAATGTATTACCCATCAGGAAAGAAATCTAATACGTGACAAAAAACGATCGGAACAACACTATTTAAACTGCTTAAATTAGATTCAACTATGTAAATCGTGAAATACAACCTCAATCCAATCTGTGGAATTTTTTATCAAAATAATGAAATAGTAAGCAGCTTCGGTAATATAATGATCTAATCAGTCTATTCTTATCAAATAAGTATCGCGACTCCGAGCGATATTTATTGCTTTTTAACGTTTCCATATGATCTAGCACATTTAGAAGATGGCCTAGATTTCCATAGAAACTAACATTGCGAAAAAAAATCGCAACAGTCACTACTATCAGCTTAATCCGGTTGTCTTACCTACTTTGAGGCCAGACCCGGTCTATTTTTAAATTATTAAAATAAAAATTATCTCATGTACGCGATACAGTGCTTTTTTCTAGTATTTGCGGAGAGGTCATAAAATCTTGCGCTGTAAATAATCCCGAGAATATTTTTGTTTGGCTAGAGAGGGAAAACGTTTATATCTGTAGTGTTTGCAAGAATTAAAACGATGACCCCAATTCAAAGCGTGCTAATATTTGAACAATAGTTATATTCTTTTGTGAATCATCTAATATCTAGCAAAATCTAGGCGGGTAGAGCATGATCAAAAACCCACACATATCTTTAATATCATAACGTATTTTATGAAGCTATCGATTGAGACTGTACAACTGTAATTCTGATTCCAAAAATGTATATGATCTACATTGACGTTGTCAAACGTTGAACAAATCTAATATTTTCGTGGTTGGCCTTGAAAATGGCAGTTTATCACATGTTTATCCGATTAAATCATCAATCTTGCTTTCTGAAATTCAGATAATTTGCTCTTTTACCGACAATGACAAGCTTTATTTCAGCTCTACATGACGCGTCATCCATAGAATAAAAGTATCTGAATGCAAGCTGTGCATCGGTTTAGATATGAAATGTGTTTATGAAGTTACAACATCATCCAGGCTTTTATTTATTGTACAATGTTTCTATAAGTTACATAAAATAATACTGTTTTCATAACTATACCCTTATTATCTTACATTTAGGGACCGTTCACTTATGCCATATTATAAACCAAAAGACTATTGATAACTTCAAGGTCGACTTAGGAAATTCCGTTTTTTGAAATAACTACGGTTTCGCAATGTCAATGCATGACATATTATACATTTTTGAAATCAGAATTAAGCAAAATAATGTTTTTTCATTTTCAAAATCCATTTCAAATAAAGTCGGGAAACAATAAAAACGAAAATTCCTGTATCTCCGAAAATACGCGGGATTGCGAAATTTTTTTAGTGTCATTTTCTTGGTTACCTAAATGCCCAACTTTGCCTCCATTTAATCAACTTCTTACCGCTTCCAATGATGAGAGTCGAATTTGAAACAGCCGACATAGTACGATGCTTCAAAATGCACGTAACGCATACGGCATTGTGAATAAGATAAGAAAAAATGAAGACGTACATTTGTTCTAAAATAAACCCAATAATACATTTCTATTGCTAAAATGTTTGATATAGCGCCACTCGAAAATATATCACAACAAAACTACAGCCTACGCACAGGCCTCAATGTGTTCTAGAGGACGGTGCAGAAAACGGGCAATGTAGCATGAAAACTATGTTATAAAGTTCCAAGAAACACACAAGAGATACAGCGTCGAAAATGTCTAAGCCATTGGTTAGAGATAAGACTATTTATGTTAGAGTAATAACATGCTATATTATACGTAGATTTGCAATGTAAAGCTTTCATATGTTGTTAACACAACATCACGAAGAAGGGTTCACAGTAATTGGATGGCATAATAGTCGAAACGATCCACATTATCAACCGCCCGACAACATCAAAGATGCTTTAGATTCCGTCAGCGATTGATGAGGTGTGCTCCTACCAGATGAAGTCCTCGGTGATCTGTACACCGACCAGCCAAAATGAACGGCTTTTTGGTAGAATTCGGCCATCCGTCGAAACCGGATGAACACTAGGTCGCTTCTTGCTAGTCAAGGAACAGTACTATGTCTTGGAAGCACTAGACTGTACCAGATTGTTGCCTCCCCGAACAGTGATAACCGCCAGATCTCTCGTCAATGAGGATGTCGCTGCAAACCTGTGGATCGGATTGATCTTACAGGACGAGAGGTAATTGATATGTAAAGGAGGCAACGCCGATTCCTGGGGAACACCCGCGTTGACCTTGTAGGAGAATCATTTCGAAAGACTCAAAAACATAATTCAAAGAGCAGTCAATTGATTTATTACATTTTATTTGTTTTTTTTCAGTCCACGCCATGCAAGCACCCAGTGATAGTCCTGCAGGACGTCGCGTGGACCGACCTCCACGCGCTCGTCGAGTTCATCTACCACGGCGAAGTAAACGTCCACCAGAGGTCGCTGTCTTCCTTCCTCAAAACGGCGGAGGTCCTGCGGGTATCGGGACTCACGCAACAACACGGAGATGGCAGGGATCAGGTAATAATGGAATAGATTCAAGATAATTCTATCACTTGACATATACGCTGTCCAAAGTAAGGATATATCGGAATATCTAGAAAAATACGTTTCTTAGAGAACAATATGTTAGAACAAAGTTGTAAGGTTTGAAAAGGGTCACTTATTGATGACCTTTACTATGGCGTTCAAGGTCATTATAAGGTGGAAACAGTTCTTAAATGAAATCCGCTATATTTGACACCGAAAATGTAAAGGGTGGGAAATTTCACGTTTAAGTATGTCTTTGTCAATGACCTTAACTATGACCATGTATTTTTGGAACTTTTAGGTGAACTATAACATTATCGCGATTATAATCCCCCCCCCCCCTAAATCTTGATTCTACCATATACTGAAAAGTTACGATATGATAATTTGTAAACTAACATTAGTATGAAAAACTAATTCCTGCGATTGATAGGCATTTTCCCCAGCTATCCAATGGTGGCCTTGGATTTGACCTCGACAATGACCTTTATGGTCGTTTGAAGGTCAAGTCTTTATTTAAAGAGAAAAGAGCCGAAAATTTTACGTTCAAATATGGTCTCGACGATTCTTGAATTTTGACCTTAGGAGGTCATGGGCAAGGTCAAACTCAGTTACAGTGATATAACTTGAAAACCAGCAGTTTACCTTAACCTTGAAGACCTTCAAGTGAGTCGATTTTTGTAACCAGAAAGCGACCCTGAAAGAACAGTTGTCTGAATTCTCAAGAAATTAAGGTAAACTTGTATTTGACATTGATGGCTAAGTCCAAGGTCAAGTTTCAAAAATGCTCGTTGGACATATTCGAACATAAAATGTTCCTTTTACTCCATTTCCGCGGTCAAAAGTATAGGGTCCCATTAAAAAAGAGTTGACCTTCAAATTACCTTGAAAGACATGGCCAAGGCTAAATTCAAGGTGAAGCCCAGTTACGGTGATATAACTTGTAAGTCTGACATTTGGCTATACTACAATGTAATTGTGGATAAATAAAGACGTCTATTATTATTATTATTATTATTATTATAAACCCAGAAGTCGTATACGGAAACTACCGAGACATTTTTTTCATGATCTTTTACCTGATATCGAATGGCGACCTTGATCTGACGTTAACCTTGATGACCTTCAAGGTCATTTGAGTCGATTTTGTAACCAGGAAACGATCCTGCAGGAACAGTGAGGTCAGTTCATCTGGGATTACACAGTTTTCTGAATTATCAAGTAATTAAGGTAAACTTGTATTTGACCTTTGATGGCCAAGTCGAAGCTCAAGTTACAAAAATGGTTGTTAGACATATACAAACATAAAATGTTCCTTTTTCTCCATTTCCGCGGTCATAAGTATAGGGTCCCATAAAACATAGTTGACCTTCAAATTACCTTGAAAGACATTGCCAAGGTCAAATTAATGGTCACAGTCATTTGATTTTAGGAGGTCATGGGCAAGGTCATACCCAGTTACGGTGATATAAGTTGAAAACCAGCAGTCGTATACGGAAACTACCGTGATTTTTTCCCGGATATCGAATGGCGACCTTGGATCTGACCTTAACCTTGATGACCTCCAAGGACACGTGGGTCGATTTTTGTAACCAGAAAACGATCCTGAAGGAACAGTGAAGTCAGTTTATCTAGTACTACAGTTTTCTGAATTATCAAGAAGTTAAGATAAACTTGTATTTGACCTTTGATGGCCAAGTCCAAGGTCAAGTTCCAAAAATGGTTGTTAGACATATACAAACATAATTCCGCGGTCAAAAGTATAGGGTCCCATTAAAAAATTACCTTGAAAGACATGGCCAAGGCCAAATTCAAGGTCACATTTATTTGATCTTAGGAGGTCATGAGCAAGGTCAAATCCAGTTACGGTGATATAACTTGGAGTCGTATACGGAAACTACCGAGCCATTTTTTTTAGTTGACCTTCAAATTACCTTGACCGGCATGACCAAGGTCAAATCCAAGGTCTCAATTGGATATCCGGGAAAAATCATGAAAATAACGTGTTAGTAGTCTTCGTATACGACGACTGGCTTTCTCAAGTTATATCATCGTAACTAGGTTTGCCGTTGATCATAATCAAAATTCAAGAATAGTCAAGACAATATTCAAACGTAAAAGTTTACGCTCTTTTCATTTACGGGGTGAAATATATATATATATATAGGTGAAAAATTAAAGCTTCGCCTTTTGTTGGGTACTTCGAAGTACCCAACAAAAGGCGAAAGCTTTAATTTTTCACCTAACTGGTCTAGACGACAATGACCACGTCTCAAGTTATATATATATATATATAAAATATTGACTTGACCTTCAGATTACCTTGAAAGTCATGATCAAGGCCAATTTCACGGTGACGATTAGATAGCTGGAGAAAACTCCTATCAATCGCAGAACTTAGTATTTTCATATCATTATTACATTACCAATTATCGGAACTTTTCACACCCTGTATACAGCACTGCTTCAAGCATTGCAGATGTTCCACCCAATTGAATTCAATTATGTGATGTATCGAAAGCAATATTCATCAAAAAAAAGAAAAAAAGAAAAACAAAAAGTGTATGTATTTTTTAGAATCTTACATCGTGTCACTAGAAAACCACGTTTTAATTCTAGGTGGCACAGGTGCAGAGTATGGTGAGGCCGCACCAGCAATCGACACCCATCCCCAATCATCACCCAAATTTCACGGAAAAGCTGGAAGATGCGCTTTTCACATCGCCCTCCTCGCCCCCGCAAGGTGCAACAGTGAACCAGTTGCTCAGGAGAGCCGCCATGCAATACAGGTAAGAACATATAATAATTATCTGGGCGTAAAAAGTTCTTTAATGGACCGCTGTATGTTAGGGCCCGAGACCCGCGGAAAGTGACATGAACGCTTTTTTCGACAGAGGTACAAAATTTCCTCTACGACTTGCTCAAATTCAAAAATTTAAAGCAGTATTTAGGTAGAATTAAAGGTTGACCGTACTATTGCGTCACCGGTGGTTGCGCCGTTGCACAGCAACAAATAATTCATAACAGTTTCCGTGTTCTTTATATGTTAATTCAAACATATCGGACGCTATACTATTCATCATTTGTTTGTCTACGCGGTCCGTAGGACCTTTGCCCATTAGTCATTGTCTAATGTACATTAGTCGAATCTGTCAGTCCTGGTTGTATAGACACCAGACAATGTCATGCAAAAAGAGAAAGGGAAAGAGAAAAAGAAAGAAGGACAAAGAAAAACATCGGGCGCTAATGTTACTTTACAAATAGTTCGTGAAATGAAAAATAAGACTTCAACATATTTGTAAATTTCACGTAAATGCATGATAGTGGCTAAAATTATTAAAATCTAATGTAAAATTTTCCGCCAAATACAGTGCCAAGTCGGGCTTTTTTATTACAGGAGATGGCAACCACATCCTCGCCAGCTACTTGCTATAGTTTGCTACCAAAACGGAAGAGAATAGCATAACAGATTGTACAGCTCTACTTGATTCAAAGGGACACTGCTTACGCGTTATGCTACTCTCTTCCTTTCTTGGAACCTGCGTATAAAGATATCTTCAGAAATTGGCAGATCATTAGGTTAAAACACATTGAAGATGCGGTAGATGTGAACGAATTAATACTAAACTAATGACTTAAGTCTCTTTTCCAGGAGAGAAAGGCGGATCCTGTCAGACCCCGAAAACGAGCACAAACGGGCCCGAGGCAGCGACCACTTAGGCCTCGCTCTGCACAATAACAACAATAACAATAACGAGTTGAACCTGTCTCCCCACCACATGACGCATCCCCCTCAACCGCCACCCCCGCAAACGCAACCTGCGGATTTCTCACCAAGCGCCATGAAGAACAACGCCCTTAATCTCAACCTCAAGTGTGAAGGTATGACAAAACTTATGGATTATGTTTTCACCGAGAAAAAAAATTTATTGAAACAACTAAAATGTTCGTTAGGCCAATTAAAAAATTTAATTAAGCATGTGACAGCTAACAAGTTTAGTTAGTTTAATTAAACTCCGATTTCTGAAACTGGTTTAACTATTTTATTTAGACTGAGTCCGCGATATTAATAAACAGTTTAATTGTTTCAAATGTACCTTTCCAACATAAACTAATTACGTGTTTTGATAAAACAGGTACATAGTTTGCTATTTTCAAGCAAATTATTTTAATAGTATATTACTTTCAATTAAACTGGTTCCAGAAAATTCAGTTTAATTTAAGCGAATAATTTACTTAGGAGAAAAATATAACATCAGAAATTTGAAAAATGTTCATTAGTTTCTTTTTTATAGTCAAATCAAATTCCAAACCTTGAATGAACCACCCTAGTTGTTGAACTGTTTTCGATAACTTACTGAACATTCTGAACTTGAGATATTTTCTATTTCAGGAAACGGAATCGGTAGAGACGCCCTACCTGGCGATGGCTCCCCCGCATGTTCCCCCTCACCTACGTCCCGCTGTCCGGAAGACAGTGGCGGCGGGGGAGGCCGACTAACAGGTGACGTCAAAAACGAACCAATGGAGTTACTGTGTCAGGCAGGGGGAAACGGCAGTGGTGGGGGGATGGATGACATCGGCAGCGATGATTCCACAGATACCAAGCACCACAACGACAACGGGCTCAGTAATCTACCTCAGGTGAGAGAAAATGTATGTATGAGCTTTGTACAAATTAACATTTCTATTTTTTTTATACTCCAACTACCACGAAGGCCTAATCACCCATGGGGTACCGTGGGGCTATAGGGCGATACAGGGGAAAGGCGGGGCTCTGGCGAGGGATCACATGTATTCAACTTGTACATTCTGGCCCCGCCTACGAGATCCGCCGGGTGGTACCTCCGCGTTCGACAGTCAGAGACCGTCTACCACCTACGGACAATCACAACATCACATGTTTAATTTTTTCATACAATTCCGCTTTCACACATGAATCGTCAAACGGGATTCCTTTTTCGCGCAACCATTGCTGCATGTCACTTTTTCGAGATCCCATAGTCGGTACACGTTCGGCTCGACGACTATGGTAGGAAGCATTATCCATGACTATCACAGAGTTCGGCTCAACTCGCCGAAGCACCCCTTGAAACCAGCTCTCGAAGCAGCTGGCATTCATTTCGTCATGGTAATCACCTACTTTCTTAGAGACGAAAATCAAGTCACACTCTTCTAAAAAGCCACTATCGCTACCAATATGAGTTACGATCAATCTTTGACCTTTCCCTGACGGTCCACGAAGACCTGTTGACAAGCCTTCAATGCTTGCTTGTCGGTTACTCACTACGTTTTTGTCTATCCAGGTTTTTTTAACTGTGTGACCTGCATTTACCCATGTCTCGTCCAAATAATAGATTTTTCTGCTTTGTCGCCTATATTCAATCATTTCGCGTAGGTATTTTCGACGCCAGGCGACTATTTCAGGTCTCTCTATCAATACCGACTTCCGATTACGCGTTTCGTAACGAAAATTAATTTCGTGCAGGGATTTCCTCATTACCTCGACGCTCATTTGGGGTATAATTTCATTTTCCTTGATCGCTGCATGTACAGTCTTGAGGGTTGGTATCTCATTCCTAAAGGAGAATGAATGTACGGTTCGCCTTAACGCCATTTTGCTATCGTCATCCAATTTAACGGCCTTTCGTCCCTTCAAATTAAACTTTGGATCAGTAGTAGCTCCAGTTTTCTTCTTTTCATGCACCACCCTGCGAATGGTCCACTCTGGAACGCCTGTCATACTTTCACAACGCGCGAGTGCATCTCCCTGCGACATAGTTCTGTTCAGATAATTGAACACGTTGAGCACGATTTCTTTCGCGTCCCTCTTCAGTGCTTTACGAAGCCGTCTACTTGTTCCCTGGCTTTCAGTACTTCCACTCGTGCCATTTGTACTCTCCATGGTTAAGTATAACGAAAACAGTAACCACAGAAACCACAACAATAACAATCACACAACAATTCTTATAAAAACACACAATATGCGATCGCTCAACGAAACACGTTCCAATGCGTTGCCGACGCCTATGAGTCTGCCGGTCGAGGCGCGTCTTTGATTTCATTGGTTCTACCGGCGCGCGGCGGAGAACAATCAGCCATTATTTCCATCTCTGTCTGTGCTGTTGACCACCGCAAAGCCACAGAAACGACATATGTCGTACGCTATACGGCTGTACTGGAAGGAAGCCGGGATCGAGCTCTGATCACGTGTTGATCACGCGTATGAGTCATTACAGTTTTAAATAGTTTTAGTATAGTTTTGGGTACCTCTTGAGTGATGGCATGATGCTAGTTCTGGCCAAAAAATGATATGGTCATTAGCATGATGTTCGTGGACAAACTGAAGCAATTTTGGAAATGCAGTTATCAATATCGCTCTGACTATTCAAACTAGTATGACAATCTCTCAAATACAGGGTCGGTCAGAAAGGACGCATGTTTTTCGAATCGGTACTACATCGAGTGAGCTGGTCCCGCGTCGGTGGGGAAGGGCGTGTTGGATAGTGGGAGAAGTGCTTTTTCGGAACTTCGACGTCGACGTGCCCGTTTCAGAACAGTGTGGTTCCAACAAGACGGGGCAACATCTCACACAGCCCGCACTTCGATGGCACTTCTTCGGCAAAAATGCCCAGGACGTCTCATTTCACGTCATGGCGATATTCCATGGACCCCTCGCTCCCCGGACCTGTCAACGTGTGATTTTTTAAGGGCTACCTGAAATAAAAAGTTTACCAAAGCAAGCCTCGGACCCTCGTCAATTTGAAGGAGGAAATAAGAAGAGAAGTAACCCAAATTTCTGCACGAACGCTGGCCGACGCAATGGTCTCATTTCGGGAGAGGCTTGATTCTTGCATTTCGTCTCAAGGCCATATGACCGACATAGTTTTTAGAACGTAAATTTTGATTTACTCAAAAAAAACGGCATGTATTTCTGAGTATTTTGATATAATAAAATATTTTTCCCATACTTATTTTGACTGTACTACTCATTTAAAGAACATGCGTTCTTTCTGAAAGACCCTGTACATATACAAGACAAAAAGTTCCTCTAAAATCCTATAAAAAATGTGGAGATGCCCCCGACAGATATTACTGGAAATCAGCTTTTCTCAAATAACTTAACTAGGGACCGACTAGCCCTAAGGCAATATTGCTGACATTTTTTACATACTTTTCACTTAATATGGAAACACTGCTTTGTCACATAATTTTGCAAAGTTTTGGGACTGTCTAGGTCTTCCACTGTGTCCAACTCGTCGGCATTGGCACGATATAAGCAAACCTAAGCATCCGGGAAAACAACCCGAAATCACGAAATATCAATCTTGAAGACATGCACGTAAAACTAACATCAAATCCATAACTGTGTTATCCCCATGCAAATTCAGTTTTTTCAAATCCGATTTATAAATACACACCGCGTGACACCTGATTTCGATACATACTCACGTGGTACCTTTTCACGTTGGGCGTTGGGCCGGGCTGACCCATTCAAATTTTTTGGAACTCAAGAGCTCGGTTATCCTAAAGCTTTGGTATGTGTTGCTTGCAAAATTTGTTTATTGATACATGAACTTTGCGCCGCTTTCCAGTGCTTTTAAATTCAGAGTTGTATGCACCTGGAGATTGACGCTCCCGAACTGCTCTAGCAAATGTGCACGGGAACGCGACGATAAAAACGTAACCTGTTTTTTCATGTTTTGCTCGTTAATAATTTGTATCACACTGCCATACAATGGAAATGTAAACACGTTTTGCCTTTATTTTCAGAAGCATTGTCAGACTATCCAACTGATGTCTGATGATGCTTTTAGAATGTTGGTGCAACATCTCAGAGGTCTGCATTTTTATTGTAAGGCTTCTGAATAAATGTGTCGAATTCATAGTTTATTGATGAAATTATTTTCAAAGTGTCTAGTTATAGATGACGCCCAACTAGAAGCTGCACTCTGTATTGTGATATTTATTATTCAGGAACATCTCAAATGTACGTTGTGACTCTGGGTCATAACATTATCCGGTTTTTACCATCCTCCATTGTCTGGTATCGGTTTAGTGTGAGTTTAATGCAAAAAATGAAAACCATGAAAAACATAACCTAACAATCTTGACACATTGTCATTTTCGTTATCCCCACTATTTCGGAGCGTATAACACCGAATAAAAAGCTGGTGCACGAGGGGGCAGGGAATTTCAAAAATGAGTAGCTCAGGTGCATGACACTCTAGAGCACTGACACGGTATTGACAGGTAGTGGGTAGCTCCGAGTTAGTCCGAGTAACACAAATGAGGAACTGGAAACCGGCACGGGTATCATGTATAAATATTATATTATAAATTAGAGAGATAAGAAATAATTATATTCACTGTACACTGTCGAATTACAAGCAATATACCTACATGCTAACAGTAACATAACTTCTCTTCAGAAAGCACAACATAAAAATAACCTGTCGGGCACAGCCAATAGATATACTTCATTGGCAGCATAGTCAGTAATGATTTTCTCACGCAGCAAATATCACTGATTTTATACACATGCAGACCAATACACATAATCATCCAGATGCGATCTTGCTATTCAACCAACATTCTTCTCAGAGATAGAAACTACAGACAAGGACCATTTCGCCTCACAAAACATATGCAACCAATAATGCGTGTAGTTTAGTTGAGTGATTCCTCCTTAGATGGACGTTCACAACGATCCTAGTGAGCAAACGTGGAATGACTGTTTGCGCCCTAAAAACTACCTAGTTTGCAAAATGACATCTTATAGGGTTTTTTTTTTGACGTTTTATCGGTTTTTTACATGATACCCATGCGGCTCTGAACGCTGTGTAAAAAATTCCAACTTTCAAACATACGAAAGATCGACATGCTATTCTAGGACAGTCATTACAACAAAATGTCACATTCGCCAATGAGTTTTTGTATTGTTTGCAGGGCGCCCATTCGGTGGGCAGCAACTCCACGGGCGGCGGAGGCGGGGACAACAGGGTCGGCAGCGGGGATCACGACGATCACGACACCAGCGCCATCTCGCCGTACCTGACGCCAACAGAGAGCAAGCTGTTCGCCACAGCCGCTGGGACGTTCAACTTCAGTATGGCCGCGTTGGCGGCCGATCCAGCAGCGCTTGGAGGTTAGTACCGAAGTGCGAGACTCTGTAGGCTTCTCAAGCCGTGGTTATACTTAGAGGTGTTTTTTTTTTTTTTTTTTTTGGTGAGGGGGGAATGCATTTACGCACCATACCATAGCCCGAGCTACGGCGTGTGTGGGACTCCAGGGTCTTGAGGAGATCACCTAATACCCACTAAACCCTAAACCTCCGCGTGGCCTGACTCATCAGCGTCTCGGTAGGCCATGTGTTGTGCGTGACCTGCGGTCTGCTACAACGTCTCCTCATGTGTTTCAGTCTCTGGGAACGCCGGGTTGGTTCCCTTTACCTCGCACATTCTATCGATGTCGTTAAGCGATCATCGATAGAGGGTCTGCTGGTTCTCTTGAAACTCTTGTTTTCGCAAAATCAAGAGTTTCAAGTCCTCTTACCAATATGTTGTTCCTGGTCCTGGTCCTGAAGGGTCCTGGTCCTGGTGGGTCCTGGTCGTGGCGGGTCCTGGTCCTGGTTGTTAGAGGTGTGCATGCAATGTACCCGTTTTATACTCTACATTGGTGAGAGGGCGGATTTTGGAATGTGTCTAAGAGTGAGCGCAGCCGAGGAGTAGCACTTAAACAGCGCTTCTGAGAGCAAATGTCCTTGAGACAATTAAAGGTTGGAGGGTGGAATACGGCTAAGGAGGGGCGGATTTAGGTCTAGGTAATGTTTACACCAAGATACAGCGATTTTCTTGAAAAAAATGGCAGACGAACTTTTTTCTCAGAGGATCTAGTTGGTGCTGAACATAACCCTTCATGAACTGATAACGGCGTCGTATAGGAAATTCAAAGTCAACCTACTTGACGCCGTTTTTTTCGTATTCCACTACTGTCTCATAAAAGGTGCTAATATCTGACAGGTCACTTTTTTCGTCGGAATACAGGATGACCCAGAATTAAAAAATTCCATAATTGTGACAGTATTCCGTATGTTTGTCGGTTGGGTCTTGTTTTATCAATAAATATGTCTTTAAAAAATGTATACTCACTTGGCTGTTTGTTCAATAAATCACTGCAGTCGGGATAATTTACAAATTACTGGAAACAAAGATTTTTAACGCCCATTTTTGAAACAGGGAATAAGAATATTGTGATATTTATTGTATATCACGCGGTGGATGTCTTGATGAATAGATCTCTACAAAATGAATTTAAAAGCATTATTGCATGGTTTTCATGAGGGTAAGTCAAGTTGTATCAACCTGATGTTACACAGAAATCATTTGTGCAATTCAGTTGAGCAAGGTCAGCAGGTGGACTTTTTCTATTTGGATTATTGTACAAACTTTACAACTATAGTGTGCAGAGTCAGCTGTAAGTTGTATGTGTTGATGATAATTTCACTGGGTTCTTGTTTCAAATAAACTTAATTGAGATTAAAAGCTAGAAATTAGTTGCGTATCCACTTTTTCTTATCCATTCTGGAAATTACATATACAAATTTGCTGAATTTCAAAAATGAGATAGATAAGAAATAATTATATTCACTGTACACTGTCGAAGTACAAGCCATATACATGCTAACAGTTATTACACACAATGCGGGCGCGGTGATGATTTCCCGTAATTCTCCTCAGTTTTTCGTAATTTATAACTTTATAATAACCTCTCTTCAGAAAGCACAACATATAAATAACCCGTCAAATTCAGCATATTTAGTAATGATTTTCTCACTCAGCAAATATCACTGATTTTATACACATGCAGACCAATACACATAATCATCCAGATGCGATCATGCTATTCAACCAAATTTCTTCTCACAGATAAAAACTACAGACACGGATCACTCAGCCTCAGAAACCTATGCAACCAATAATGCGTGTAGCTTAGTTGAGAGATTCCTCCTTAGATGGACGTTCACAACGATCCTAGTGAGCAAACGTGGAATGACTGTTTGCGCCCTAAAAACTACCTCGTCTGCAAGTTGACATCTTATAGGTTTTTTTTACGTTTTATAGGTTTTTTACATGATACCCGTGCCGACTTGGGAGTTATTTTTTCACTCAAAATTGTCATTTAACGTAAATATTGAAAAAATTGTTACTTTTTTCTTTCAAAATTTTGTTTTGCTCTTTGGTTCGTTCATTACTTAAGTATTGCTGCTCCATCTGGACACCAAGTAATAACTTAGACAGAATGTAAATGATAGGAGAACGCGACATACTGATACTTTTTGTCCACTATCGTTAAACAAATTATAGTTTGGAAAAACCCGTAAATCGCCTCCTCGGGTTAGGTAATACATACATATCCAGTTCATTACTATTTGGAACTCCTCTCAATAAATAAATAGTGTTCAAGCTTTTTATCGATGTTTTTTCTTGCAGGTTTGAACCAGTCTCTGCAGGGTAACGACTTGGCGGGCACATCACAAGGTAGGAACCCAATTTTAATTTCTCATCAGCATACCTCACGCGCATCTATCACTTAGTTGTCTTAACTGAATGTTGCATTTGTCCCACGTATGTCGTAGTCTGCTGCTCAGTTAAGGTGACTCCTACGCCCTCTTTTTGTTGTTGTCGACTTCTTTCGAGTTCCATGTGTTTGACTTAACTGACAGACGTTTGAACCGCTTCAAAGATTATTGGAGAAGGCAATCTCGAAAAAGCTATAACGCGGTATTATCTTCAAACAACTTTTTTTATACGTTTATCAATGATGAAGCAGTTCATCTTCGATCTTCCGTCGGAACAATCATCCTTCGTGATTTAATTCTTGTTCTAGAGACGGATGAAAAACGTGACTCTAGGCTTGTTCTAGATTCGGTTTTGAACAGTTGGAAACATTTAACTAATTCAGTTTGACGCATAAAGATCAGCGACACTTTTTTGGTAATTTCAAAAGAATGCCTGTCTTTCAAAAGACTTTGAAGCTCTTCAAACATCTAGGAATGTGTTATTGTGCGTGTGTGTTTCTCTTTTCCCTTTTTTATTTTTTGTCCTTGACTCTTAACGCATTTTAACGAAATTTTGGGGATGCCATCTAAATATTGGAATTCGTGAAATTTTACTGAAAAAATTTTTATTTCTTTCGACTTTAAGAACGGCAACATTCGTACGACATTTTGTGATGGAATTTTAAGCATACAATCGATGAAATTAATTTAGTTTTGAGTTTGCTATTGCTACACCTGTTTTAGATATTTCAAATTTAAATATGCTTAAGACTTCCAAAGAGTGTAAACAGTTTGATGTATAAAGGTTCAAACGTGAATTCTAAAGACAGTCTATGAAAACAATCATATTTTCATCAAATATTCAGATCATTTGTGAAGCAAAGGACCCAAAGATTAACAAACAAAAATATACTACTTGTTGTAATTCCCATGCTTTTGCTGATTTTTTTAAGCAGTTGTAACTTTCTTAACTAGTAAATACAAATTAATATCTCCGCCATTTTTGAATTTCTATTGAAACTTGCATAAAATAACCAACACCAATAACAAATAAAGACTTGGCACCGGATTCTATGTGAATATTTAAATAGGTATGCTTCACAAAAATCATTTTCTTTCAGTCTATGAAAATATGGTTGTACGTGTAGCTACGCTTTAAAAAACTGTGAACTAGTCTATAATTTAGAATAAGTTAGTTGAATTGTATAATTTGGTAGTCTATATACAACTGATACAAAGACGGAAGTGAAGTTATTCCAGAGGATTTCTTTAAGAAATCTCAATTTTCTCTTCGTCAGTTTTCGTGTTTTCCTTAAATCGAAATTAAGAATTTCTGGAGTATGCCATTGTTCAACATCAGAGCTATTAGCAGTGTAAATGCAGAAGTACAGGTCCCATTACAGAAGATCATGAAAAGAGCCCCTTGATGGCAATATCAATTTCATTTTGAAAACAAACCACTAAAACGCTTTCTCTCTAAAATACTATGATTTTAGATTGCTTAACAGGTGAGGAGAGCAGTGAATTCAATGCAACAAGAACTGGGTAACTTCACTACGTCTTTGCTTACTCCAAAACATATTCCGTGTGTAAATAATTTCTCTAGAATCCCTATTCGATATGAACTCGGGTCTGGACGAAGTCGCTATGGATTTTATCGTGTACTCTTAAAATTTCTAAATGGCCAGCTAGCCAGCTTTTTTCTTCGTCACGTTTTAGCATCCACAAGAATTATAGTTGGCTTGTACGTAGACAGCCTCATCAGTTGCAAAAATCGTAGTTTTTGACTTGGGTACGAGACGTTCTGTCTCACCATATAAATGCTTATTGCATCCTGTCTCCATGGATAATGTGTTAAGATAAGTCTGGATAAAAACAGAAGGCTTCAATTACTGTTCTTACTCATCTATCAAACATCTAGATCCTACAGGCAAATCACAGAATAAAGACAAGCTAAGTCACTGATGGGGATTTGTTTTAGACTTTCAAATGCCCATATTCATTTTCTAGTTAGTTGTTCAATTTCTCAAGAGCTTGGAAAACTGCTGTCAACCAATCGTTTCCATTCCAAGGTGCTTAACAAATGCAGGAAGAGACGTATGAAGAAGTCGTTAACCATTTTCTCTGTATCCATCATTGTTCATTCCAACAGATTCCTGAAATTTCATCTAGTGATAAATTTGACCCTAGGAGAACAATGTCTGCTTCATCAATGAACCACAGAATAAAGACAAGCTAAGTCACTGATGGGAATTTGTTTCAGACTTTCAAATGCCCAAATTAATTTCATAGTTAGTTGTTCAATTTCTCAACAGCTGTCAACCAATCGTTTCCATTCCAAGGTCCTTAACAAACGCAGGAAGAAAAGTATGAAGAAGTCGTTAACCATGTTCTCTGTATATATCATTCTTCATTCCAATAAAGTCGTGAAATTTCATTTCGTGATAAATTTGACCCTAGGAGAATAATGTCTGCTTCATCAATGAACCACAGAATAAAGACAAGCTAAGTCACTGATGGGAATTTGTTTCAGAATTTCAAATGCCCAAATTAATTTCATAGTTAGTTGTTCAATTTCTCAACAGCTGTCAACCAATCGTTTCCATTCCAAGGTCCTTAACAAACGCAGGAAGAGACGTATGAAGAAGTCGTTAGCCATGTTCTCTGTATATATCATTCTTCATTCCAATAAAGTCGGGAAATTTCATCTCGTGATAAATTTGTCCCTAGGAGAATAATGTCTGCTTCATCAATGAATCACAGAATATAGACAAGCTATGTCACTGACGGAAATTTGTTTCAGACTTTCAAATGCCCAAATTAATTTCCTAGTTAGTTGTTCAATTTCTCAACAGCTGTCAACCAATCGTTTCCATGCCAAGGTCCTTAACAAACGCATCAAGGGACGTATCAAGGAGTCGTTAACCATGTTCTCTGTACATATCATTCTTCATTCCAATAAAGTCGTGAAATTTCATCTCATGATAAATTTGACACTAGGAAAATAATGTCTGCTTCATCGATGAATCACAGAATAAAGACAAGCTAAGTCACTGATGGGAATTTGTTTCAGACTTTCAAATGCCCAAAGTAATTTCATAGTTAGTTGTTCAATTTCTCAACAGCTGTCAACCAATCGTTTCAATTCCAAGGTCCTTAACAAACGCAGGAAGAAACGTATGAAGAAGTCGTTAACCATTTTCCCTGGATATATCATTGTTCATTGCAATAAACTCCTGAAATTTCCTCTCGTGATAAATTTGACCCTAGGAGAATAATGGTTGCTTCATCAATGAACCACAGAATAAAGACAAGCTAAGTCACTGATGGGAATTTGTTTAAGATTTTCAAATGCCCAAATTAATTTCATAGTTAGTTGTTCAATTTCTCAAGAGCTTGAAAAACTGCTGTCAACCAATCGTTTCCATTCCAAGGTGCTTAACAAACGCAGGAAGAGACGTATGAAGAAGTCGTTAACCATTTTCCCTGTATATATCATTGTTCATTCCAATAAACTCCTGAAATTTCCTCTCGTGATAAATTTGACCCTAGGAGAATAATGTCTGCTTCATCAATGAACCACAGAATAAAGACAAGCTAAGTCACTGTTGGGAATTTGTTTCAGACTTTCAAATGCCCAAATTAATTTCATAGTTAGTTGTTCAATTTCTCAACAGCTGTCAACCAATCGTTTCCATTCCAAGGTCCTTAACAAACGCAGGAAGAAAAGTATGAAGAAGTCGTTAACCATGTTCTCTGTATATATCATTCTTCATTCCAATAAAGTCGTGAAATTTCATTTCGTGATAAATTTGACCCTAGGAGAATAATGTCTGCTTCATCAATGAACCACAGAATAAAGACAAGCTGAGTCACTGATGGGAATTTGTTTCAGACTTTCAAATGCCCAAATTAATTTCCTAGTTAATTGTTCAGTTTCTCAACAGCTGTCAACCAATCGTTTCCATTTCAAGGTGCTTAACAAATGCAGGAAGAGACGTATGAAGAAGTCGTTAACCATTTTCCCTGTATATATCATTGTTCATTCCAATAAACTCCTGAAATTTCCTCTCGTGATAAATTTGACCCTAGGAGAATAATGTCTGCTTCATCAATGAACCACAGAATAAAGACAAGCTAAGTCACTGATGGGAATTTGTTTCAGACTTTCAAATGCCCAAATTAATTTCCTAGTTAGTGGTTCAGTTTCTCAACAGCTGTCAACCAATCGTTTCCATTTCAAGGTGCTTAACAAATGCAGGAAGAGACGTATAAAGAAGTCGTTAAACATTTTCCCTGTATATATCATTGTTCATTCCAATAAACTCCTGAAATTTTCTCTCGTGATAAATCTGACCCTAGGAGAATAATGTCTGCTTCATCAATGAACCACAGAATAAAGACAAGCTAAGTCACTGATGGGAATTTGTTTCAGAATTTCAAATGCCCAAATTAATTTCACAGTTAGTTGTTCAGTTTCTCAACAGCTGTCAACCAATCGTTTCCATTTCAAGGTGCTTAACAAATGCAGGAAGAGACGTATGAAGAAGTCGTTAACCATTTTCCCTGTATAAATCATTGTTCATTCCAATAAACTCCTGAAATTTCCTCTCGTGATAAATTTGACCCTAGGAGAATAATGTCTGCTTCATCAATGAACCACAGAATAAAGACAAGCTGAGTCACTGATGGGAATTTGTTTCAGAATTTCAAATGTCCAAATTAATTTCATAGTTAGTTGTTCAATTTCTCAACAGCTGTCAACCAATCGTTTCCATTCCAAGGTCCTTAACAAACGCAGGAAGAGACGTATGAAGAAGTCGTTAACCATTTTCCCTGTATAAATCATTGTTCATTCCAATAAACTCCTGAAATTTCCTCTCGTGATAAATTTGACCCTAGGAGAATAATGTCTGCTTCATCAATGAACCACAGAATAAAGACAAGCTAAGTCACTGATGGGAATTTGTTTCAGACTTT